GAGAGGGTGAAAAGTTAAGTTACTTACTAGGGATATGGTGAGAATAAATGAACCATGGGAATGGGGCTTGTTTTCCCCCATAAGGACAAACCAAACATGATTTTAGCCTACTAGGGTGCAACAAGTTAAACAAAAACTTGGGATTATCACCAAATTCGTAAATGAATTTCACTGTTGACAACTATTTCGGTAGAAAATGAACATACAGGGGGACCCGGCGGTCCACTCCCAAAGTCGCCAGGTTCACCTCTGTCGCCAGGATCACCAGGAAAACCAGGCGGGCCATCAACTCCAGGACGTCCTGCTGGACCAGGTGGACCGGGATCACCCTAGGATTGATGTAAACAACGCCTCAATCACCAGACATCCAAATGCAGAGCATATTCTAGGTCAGCTATTCCACTTACCGGCGGCCCATCACATCCTGGAATCCCCTTTTCTCCAGGATCACCTATTTCACCATCATCTCCGTGTTGTCCATGTCGGCCGGGGGGACCGAAATCACCAGGAGGACCCTTGAGCACACACTCAGTGAGGAAATCACCCAGTGGAGGGCAACAATTTACAGCTGACGATATATTCACTCACCCGTTCACCCGGCTCTCCAGGAATTCCATCGGCTCCAGGTGGTCCTCGCTGGCCTTTGGGGCCAATGGGACCTATTTCTCCGGGGTAACCTTTGGGGCCTGTAACACCCGGCGGACCTCGAGCTCCAGGAGGACCCTAGCAATATCTATTAAGCTTGATGCTAACTCACCATTGGGCCTTGAGGGGCCACGCAACGGCACTTATCGTAGTAGCAGTCGATGTTACATTCCCGACTGGGCGAGAATTGCTAAAGAGGAAGAGGAAAAGATGTGGGGATGAGTCCGAAATGCCGATATTTGACTTACCGCCACGGCAGTGGGTATAAGGACACTCAAAACCATGCATATTGTCGCAAAGACCCCGAGACCAGTTAGTCTTCTGGAAAACAAGAAGAATTGACCTGCTGGCCAGGTGTTTCTAGGCGAACGTCCGGCCAGCATTCAGACGACGTCTCTGAATAAAATAAACAAGTTGTATGCTACTCGCTTTTTTATAAGTAGATAACCATCGTATGCTAAAAACAAGCGCGCAATAACATTAATAAGTATTGCTTTTCTAAGATGTGCTTTGAAACACAGACATACAGCAGTGGATAATGAGGGGTGGTGGAAGAAGAAAAGGGGTAAGGAGGTGAGAAAAGCAGAGTACTTTGGATTGGGGAGGAAATAAGGTAATTAAACAAGAAAAGCCTAAATAAGACACTGTCATTGCTAGTTTTGTCCATAAATTGGATGTTGCCACTGCCATCGGTGTTTGAGATAAATTTTTGAAAAATCCTATACCGGCGTCTTCATGCACACTCGACACTTGCTGACACTATCCACCGTAGGTCCATCTCCCGCTTTCAAGGTCAATCCGAGGGGCTTCGAGAATTGCTCCTCCAGGCTTTCTGGGACGGAGCGAAGGTAATAGACTTTTGCGTCGCTCCAGTAGTGGCAAGTTCCAGCATTATTATTGCACTCGATAACTGGAGAGTATCGAAAGTGCTCTAAGCAACTTCCGGGGGAGGACAACGGCTGACCGCCTCCAAATGAGCCCGACGTGTGCTGCAAGGCAAAGGCAATATTAAATAATGGGTTCAATAGATGAAATAACGCTGTTTGAGCAAGAATGTTTACCAATAGGAGACTAACGCCCGTCCACAGTTCAGTCCATGTGCTCGGGCATGGCGTAAGGCTTCTAATTTGACTGTGGAAGGCAAAGACATGCGTGGGAGCCTCACAAACCACGCATCGAGAAATGCGCCCATCCAGCTCTTCAATTGGAAGTGGTTCCTCAGATCGTGGTTTTAGAGTAGCCAACCAGTAGGACCGCTCGTGACGCATGTTAGTGTGGCAGACACTACCGCTCTCACAGACAGTCATAGGGTGTGTGTTGAACCGTCGCATACACGAACTTGCACTTCCAAGATCCATGCTGTAAAGATAGTCCACACCACCACCCATGAGATAGCTGTACCCATCATACAGGAAACGCGTCCCTGCTGGACACTCAAATGGACCCTCATCCGATTGAAAATGCCTAGCGAAGAGCACGTTGGTATAGTTGGTGGGCCCTGGCAGTCCGACAGGTCCAGGAGGACCCCGTTCGCCAGGAGGGCCAGGTTCACCCTTCTCACCCTCTTCTCCGACATCACCCATCTCTCCCTGATCTCCGAAAGGTCCACGAGGTCCTTCCTCTACTCCAGCCTGTCCCTTCTCTCCAACATCGCCAGGTGGACCTTCAAAACCTGGAGGCCCCATCTCTCCTGTATCTCCGATCTCGCCAGGTTCACCGGCATCGCCAACATCACCACGTTCACCGACAGCGGCATGGCCGGCGACTCCCTTGGGTCCTTTTGGACCTAGGGGACCCTGAGGGCCAGTTGGACCCATTGGACCCTCCTCGCCACGTTCACCACTGTCGCCAAAGTCGCCTTCTTCACCGTCAGGTCCTGGTGCACCGTCTTCGCCCCGAAGGCCTGGATGACCACGCATGCCTGGCAAGCCATCTTCCCCCTTGAGACCGGGTTCACCATCCTTCCCGGAGAGTCCAGGTTCACCTTCTTCACCAGGTTCACCTGGTAGGCCCTCGTCTCCTGGTTCTCCGGCTTCTGGGGGCTCTGCTGGTTCACCACTATCACCAGGGTCACCGGGGGTCCCTGAAGAAGGAAAACTAGGTAGAGATTCATTTAGTAAAGTAAATAGATTTATGGTGAATTGGCATTTGTTGTGGTAGGTTCTAACTTTCCCGGACTACATAAATATCCTAATTTTGCAGTGTTCCATCCTTTCTGTGGTTCCTTGCCTGACCGTCCTTTACCGTTACATCCCCACTGAGTACTCGGATCGCGAGTGTGTCAGCACGGGTTTCTCCAATCTTATGCGATTCGATTACCACGCCTCAGTCGTCGTCTTTCTTCCTACTGGCGTCTGTCAACCTCCTGTGCTCCATCTATCTGGAGCTATATAGCGGTACCCGCAGATCCTCATTCTCTTCAATATGAGCTCCAAGATGGATGTCTCCAAATCAAATCACATTATCAATGCATCTCATCTCTCAACTATCGCGAAAAAATGCCTCACAACGCTTTCATGAAAGCAAGTCGAAGAAAAGTGGTCTTACCCTTCCAATTTCAAGTAAATCTAATGACGCGACAAAGTAGTCATGTCACTAGTCAAAAAATAAAGAGAAGATAGCTAAATAAGAGCATCTAAGAAAAGCTGATATGGTAAAGAAAAAATGCGATGAAGCAGTTAGAAATTCCACACATCAGAAATGCAATATTAAGACTCTAAAAGTTTACAGGTTTTTTTTTTCAAAATAAAAGAATGTTTTGAATACAAATACTCCAAGATAATTTCTCGGCTGTTAGCATTTAAAAGTTTACGATAATTTGGAAGATAGAAACCTAAAATTCCATCTGTCCTAGGAAATTGGGCCCCCTCCCCCCTGCAACACTGCAAAAGTACCATCTAGTAGGTAACGACGATTTGCACTGCGGTTTGGCAACCGAATTTTTACAGTCAACCAATGAAAACACTGCGCAAAAGCCATTATTCATCGGTGATATACAAAGTGACCAATCAGAGGGTGAGAAAAGTATGCATAATGCCGCAGACATTTGAGTGGCTACTTTAAGGGCACGGTATTTTGGATTTCATCCAATCAGGTATCGAGCAAACGGATTGAAAAAAGTATTTTTCCTTTGTTTCCGAGGCCTAAACTCAAATTCGAAGGATTATGAAAACTGCCCTTAAGGAGATTGTGGGCATCCGGCACTTCATGAAGGGGACTCACGAACACAGAGGCGGATTTAATTTTGTTAACAAACAGACGATTTTGTAGTGCGACGGTGCATTGCTCCCAATAAAAAGGGGTAAAAACTCTGTGACTTTATGGAAAGAAAACGACTTTTTCTTGCCAGAAAATGCGTCTAGGATGAATTGAGTTTGCTGGGAAAAATTGTTCACTATGAGGCAATAAAAATGACCGTTTGATGGGGGGGGGGGGAATTGTGCCGTTCCAAACAACTAGTTTTGCAATGAAATTATTGAAGAATAACACCTGTTTGTTTGTCAAAATTTAGTGGTATAACAAAGTAGAACACTGAGGTTGTAAAGAGGTAACTTTGAGTTGAGGGAATTGGTATCCTCTGGCATTTTGTTTAAGTTGTATGACTGCCCGCGTGGGGACTTCAAATCCCGCTTCGCAACGTGGTCTTTGGGCTGTGCAACTGGCCTGCCAGCTCGCCTGTGCGTTAATAAAAATGTCATGTTCCACCTCTGCTGTTTTGGCATTCTGGGGCTTTAGAGAGCAGTCCGGGTGCTATACACACTTCCTCCAATTATTTACACATATTTGTCGAAGAGGTAAGAATATTTTTATCACACAAAGAGAAAAATTACTTACTTGACCAACTTCAAGGAGTAAATTTATCAGCTAGATATCAAACTAAATCCAGCATTTTTTAAAAAACTCAATTTCGGTTTTTCATGAATAAATATGCAAGGATTTCTTCCACTTCATTCCTTTTTTGTTTGGAAAAATTGACAATTTTTTTTCACAAAAATAGGTAACTCTAGGTGATCCATAAAGGTGGTATCATTTTTCCGCCTTCCCCTCACTATCCCTCTTCACCCGAGAATTTACCGCTCTCAATAATTTAAAAGACCACAGACGCGAAGAAAAGCAAATTCGGACCTGGAAACCCTGGATGTTGTACACCAAAGGTCAAGGGTCATGGGAAAACACTTTCCCCTCCCCTTCCAAATATCAAATTTGCGAATCGGTAATTTTGAGGTGTTTTACATAATATATTTTAAGGATGCGGAAATAAAATGCTTTTTTGCAAAAAAGCTGCTTCGAAACCTTGCTTTTTTAAATATCTTAGCTGGATTGCTTTCTGGTTAGATAAGACAAAAGCGTGACATGCGGATCAACTACTCACCGATGCTTGGTTGACTGCTTATGAAATAGCCCGAATCACACGGTGCTCATGTTTCACCACTACATGAGCAAGTTTTGTGTTCACAGAGGTGACGATGAGCATAAAAAGATGGATAAGAGAGGGGATTGAGGTGCAGAGACTACGTCCACAGAAGGAAACAGGTGGGTGTCATACGCCATCGCCGCCGCCGCCGCCGCCACCACATCGATAAGCCCGAACGGGTAGTAGCCACTGAAGGCATCATCTGTGTGGCACCACTCTGCCACTTTGCCAGTCCACATGGGCATACCAGCACATCGAGATGCACATGTGCCCGCTCACACACCTTCGCACTGCGCGCATGGGACGGGGGAGGGATGGGCCAGCCAATGGCTATGCAAGTGTGCCTGTGTGGTTATCGCAAAATCAATGGCCCCAACCGCATGTGTGTGTGTGTAAGTGTGTGTCTGTGTACGGCGGACTTGGCAGAGGCTATTGACGCTTCTGACTTGTGTACTACTCATGGCCACTTCAGTATTACCTACTCACCAGATCTTCCGTATATTCCAATCAAGCCCACTTCTCCGCGTTCTCCAGGTGCACCTAGGCCTGGCTCACCCTGCTTGCCCTTGGGACCGGGAACTCCGTCAGTACCTACATTAGACAGAATTGATTTAGTGGTAACGAATTATCCGAAGGATTCATCACCCCAATCATCAACAATATCGACCCGACCAATGGGGTCTTCTAGGTCATTTAGCCCCGTAATGTAGTGGGAGTAAGACTCCCCTCTGTAATGTTAACTGGAAGGGGAAAAGCAGAAGGTAATCGGCAGTAGACAACTCAAGAAGTAAAATCAGTAAATTAGAGTAGTCACCTTGGCATCTAGGTTGCTAAGGCGCCTTGTCGACTAACAACCAATCAAATTCGTGTTTACCACAGTCAATCCGCCACAAAATTAATTTTTTATGAAAAACATAGATTAAATTGTAGGAAGGTATGTTTTTAACCAAAAATCGTCCTTCATATCGTTGTTGCTATGCTGGAATTTGCACAACCAAAATTTAAATTTAGGTGGTTTTACAAATCAAATTACTGTTAAAAATTTTGGCGATTCAAGAAAAAATTTTCGACTTTTTAATTGTTGTAACAACTTCTTTGATTAGAGAAACTTAAAAAAAGTTAGCCTATTTTGAGAAGAACAAAGTCAAGAAGTTATGTTTTCTCTTCGCTTCGTTCTTCACCAATCGGAACTGACCTGGATCACCAGGCTGGCCTTTGGGTCCTCTAGGTCCTGGCGGACCGATAGTACCCCTTTCACCATCCAGAGCAGCGGGACAAGCGACAACGGAGCGTCCTTTTGGACCTTGTGGACCGCGTTCCCCTTTGAGTCCGCTTATGCCAACCTCACCTCGTTCACCAGCATCACCTTCTGGACCTCGCATTCCATGCTCACCTACAATAGCCATCCAAGGTGCTAAGTGAAAACAACTTCGCCTCGTCGATACAGAGAATTCAAGAGTAACCTTGAGTTCTAGGCGGAACTTGAAGCAATGGATTCAGCTGTTGACTTAAAAGAGAGGAAAGTAGTGTTCCTCGTTCTCTTCTCGCTTCGCTTAGCCTCAAGCAATGCCATTTTTCCGTCCCATATCATGAGGACAAATAAAATCAGCGCTATTTCCTACGATGAATGAACATGATTATGAAGACCGACTGACCTTTACGCGGTGGTCGGTCTTAAACCCGACCCCACCACCAAGGTGGGAAGAGGAAGACGAACGGACGACTTCGACCCCACACGTCAGCCTTTCCCCTCCCTCTAATTCCGTCTAAACATCGCTGTAACTACTATGCGGTCAGGTACACGCTTTAACAGGCACTGCCTCTGCCGGCCGTCTCTCGCAGCGCCATCGTGATAAAGCCGATTCAAGGTCACGATCTCCCAATTCGTGTAAAATATTTGAAGTGACATGCTTAACTGCACAAGTAAATTAAAGGCCTTGGATTTGTTTCTTCTTTACCTACACAGAGAAGGTGGGAGGAAAAACGCCGAACAAAGTGGAACACAAAATCGGCGTCGTTAATTCATGACGAGAAGTTTTTTGCCTTCAATCAAAAAATAGATCCAATCTTTCGATTGTGAACATCTCCTGCATGCACGAATGGCGTCAGTTCATACAATTACGAGGAGGAACAATGAAGATGATGTACTGACAGATGCAGTCTGACCGATAGAACATTTAAGGAAAGGAATTCAATCTCTTCGGTCTACAACAGTCCTGTACGTGAAGCGAAAGAGAGGGAGGGAGGAAGGAAATATCGTCCCTCGATGAAAGGCAGAAAGAAAAAGAGGCGAATGAATGGAAAGATCGAATGGGTTCATTCGTATAGTATTCAGGCCAGATCGTTCATAGAATCCGCCAATTGGGCGGATCTAATTTGATGGGCAATTTTGAACTACTAAGTGAATGATGAGGGCTGTGTGACAACTTGACATTTTCAGTGTCTCCTGTGCTTCCCACCACTGCGAAATGGAGCTTGAAACGTGACATATCCATTATTAATCTTCCAGTTTTTCTGCATATTGAGAAGAAAAGCACCTTCATAGACAAATCGGGTGAGACGAAATAGCCCATAATTTTGTACACATCACAATGACCAGTGACAAAGCAAAGGAAATGAAAGCATGTGGTAACACTTGGACCCACCTTGAGGACCGGAATCACCGGATTCACCTTCGTCCCCATCTTCACCACTTTCGCCAGGCTCTCCAAATGGTCCCGACTCTCCTGGCGCTCCAGATTGGCCCATTCGCCCTAAAATGGATAAGTTTGGTGGGTGATTGGACTCACCAACATAAAGAGTAATCCTGTTGGATATTTTACCTTCTCAAATTGATCCATGCATATATTTAGAGTTAGCTAACTCACCTTCTTTACCTCGATCACCGGGTTCACCCTCAGGACCCATCTCGCCCTTCTTACCAGGCGGTCCCCGGGGTCCAGGTTGGCCCTTGATAGTAACAGAGTCTCCACCGGGCTGACCCTCATCACCCTGGTCACCTTGCTCCCCCATCGGCCCATCATCACCCTCCTCTCCAGTTGGTCCTTTCGAGCCCTCCATTCCCATTGGGCCATCCTCACCCAACTCACCTGCCTGACCTCTATCACCCTAGCAATCAATAGACGGAATGGATAGAAGGATTTCTGCATAACATTGAAAAATCGAGGCTGAGGCAACTAACCTGTTCACCAACAGGACCCACTTCACCTTCATCACCAACTTCACCATCTACCGGTTCTTCACCATCAGGACCTGGATCGCCGGGTTCACCGGGCTCACCTTGTTCACCAGGTGGTCCTTCCGGACCAATTTCATCCTTACCGGGCTCTCCATCTTTGCCCGGTTCACCTTCGGGTCCCTGATCACCTATTTTACCCTTGAGACCAGGTTCTCCATCCTCGCCAGGAGAACCTTTAGGGCAGGCCGCGGCTTGGCCTGGCGGTCCCCGTGGACCCTTTGGACCATAGGGTCCGGGTTCTCCAGGGTCACCTAACCATGTTACCACTAGTCAGCCCCTCCTCCAAAATTCAGCAATGACAATGCAATCATAACGCACCCTTTTCTGTTCCAGGTTCTCCCTCTTCACCAGGGTCTCCTTGTGGACCGGGGGGACCCTCTGGACCTGGGGGACCCCGTTCACCAATTGGGCCTTCCAGACCCTCCGGTCCTTTTTCACCAACCTCGCCCCGTTCACCTTTCTCTCCAGGAGGTCCCTGAACACCCTGTTCGCCCTCTTCCATACTATCTGGGCCAGATTCACCTGGCAATCCCTGTTCACCTGGAGGACCTACATCGCCGGGCTCACCAACATCACCAGGTTCCGGCTGCGGTCCTTCGTAATCGGGCATTCCCGCGATATCACAGAAGCCCTGGTCTCCTGTGGGACCCTTGTAGCCTTGGGGTCCTTGTTCGCCCTGTGGACCCACTTCACCAGGTTCACCAGGCTCACCTGGAGTACTGGGTTCCCCAGGCATTCCCTTCTCACCTGGAGGCCCTTGTTCTCCCTCATCCCCTTCTAGACCAGGAGGTCCAGGCTCACCTATAGTGAAAGAAGAGTATTCAAGGGAGTAATAGGTCAGAATATTATCGCCACTTGAAGTTGATTCTGTCAAATAGGCTACCTCTTGGTCCAGCTGACCCCTTTTCCCCCTCTTTCCCATCCGGACCGGGATCACCAGGTTCTCCGGGTTTGCCAGGTTCGCCAGGACCTCCACGAGATCCAAGGTCGCCACGGTCTCCAGGCTCGCCTAAAATCAGATTGATTAAAGAATCACTTTAATAGTCGGCACAAATAAGGCCTTCGACTAAGGCTACCATCCACATACCCTTAGGACCCCGAATCCCGATTTCACCAGCATCTCCAGGTTCGCCTTCCGGTTCTTCTCCACGAGGTCCTGCTCGGCTCGTAGGACCGGGGGGTCCCTGTGGACCTCTCGGTCCTCTGTCACCAGCAGGTCCGGCAGGGCCAGGAGGACCTCTTTCACCACGCTCACCGAGCTCGCCATTGCGACCAAAGCCACCTTTCTCCCCTGGGGGTCCACGAGGACCTTCAGGACCTGCCTCACCTTGGTCTCCCTTTTCACCCTTTGCACCGAGCAAATCTAGGCAGAAATAAGGGGAAAATGTCCTTAAGGATCCATGGAAAGTCCATGTCAAGTCACTTTTAATGGTTAATGTCAAGGTTTGAATTACTCTAGACTGACTGTTGATCGCTGGTGCGTAGAGGAATTCTGTTTACATGCTAATTTTGAAATTGGTATCCAGTTTAGAAGCTTGATTCCACGATGCCACCGTTCTACTTTGATGCCTATAACTGATGCCTTTTAAAGAGGTGTTGGACATCTACAAGCCCTTTGACCTGACGGTCCAGACTTGGGAAAAACGTCGCTCCAACCGACTTCAAGCTCCTTCACTACTGTTTGCTAGCCCAAAGTTTAGCAATTCCTCACCAAGAGTATTTTGAGCGAGTTTACTGTCGACAGCTGAGATACAGGTGCCCAGGCTTCCGTCGACACCTTTTATGCCCGGTGGCCCACGCGGTCCGTCGTCTCCAGGATCTCCGGGGGCTCCAACAACGTGTTCTAGATCCTCTCCTGGTTCACCCCGTTCTCCTTTCTCTCCGGGAGGGCCGATATCTCCCATAGAGCCCTGTCTTCCTCTCTCACCCTGCAAAAATACAGGAGTTTACAAGGGTGCTTCCTTCTTAACCGTATAACTCATTTTTACTCGGCAACCAGCACACCTTTCGACCAGGTAGACCAGCAGAACCTTCATCGCCTTCTTCGCCTTGAGGTCCACGATCACCGGTTTCACCTAGAGGACCCTCTGAACCCTCTTCACCAGGATCACCTAGTTCGACCTTCTCTGGGACTCCTTCCACCAGGAACGGATCACCGGGTTCACCAGCCTCCCCTTGATAGCCCTGCTCACCTCTAGGTCCCTAAAAAGAAGGCATCTACACATTGAAGCAACATACAAAGGGTTAGAAAGATCTTTTTTTGCACTAATTCGTGCCAACCTTATCGCCATCAGGGCCTTGAAGTCCAACAGGACCAACTGGACCAATGGAACCTCTAGGTCCATCTATTCCAGGTCTCCCATCTTCTCCTGGAAGTCCATCCTCACCCGGTTCGCCTATTTCACCTTCAAGACCCGGTGGACCATTTTCACAACGTGGACAGTCGACTGGATTGAATGGTTCACCTTGTGAAGGAAAGAAATCGGATTACTTTTAAAGCCTTGCTTAGTATTAATTGTTTCAATCGACCTCTCAGTGAGCGCTTGTCACCTCGGAAATGTCAGTGAGGGAGTAATGAGGCTCCGTAAAATATCCACCCACATTGCATAAATATTTACTTGTCGCGTCAACCGTCAACCAATAACAACGATTTGTGGCCCCACCTTTCTCGCCAATCTCGCCAATATCACCATCTCGTCCAGGTTTTCCCTCTTCTCCGGGATCACCGGGTTCACCGCGGGGTCCATCAGGGCCAGTTCTTCCAGGAGGCCCTTTGTCGCCATCATCACCAGGTTCGCCCACATCGCCTGTGTTGAGAAAAAAAGGGACAAAGCTGAACTTTCCAAGTTATTCAGCAAAAGAAGGGAAGAAAGGAAACCTTCTGGACGTGATTACCTGGAGGTCCCTCTTGACCTTGAATTCCCATTTCACCAGGAAAACCTTGTTGCCCAAAACCGTCTATTCCATGAATTCCAGGTGCTCCAGGCGCACCTGGTTCGCCCTCTTGGCCTGGTAGACCGTCCACACCATCTCTCCCTAAAATTCGAGTAAAATATTGTAAGCCTCTCTTAAGCCCTCTAGGACTCGACCTCATTGTTGTTTAATACATGGAGCAATCCATGGAATCTGAGGAGGGGGTAGGAAAGAGGGGAAGGAAGCACTTCACCTCAATCCACACTTAGTGATGGGCACCTTTTTTAATACACATGCATAGGAAATTGAAGGATTAATTGAAGTAACACTCTGTTCACCTGATTGACATTTTTGCCATTTTAATGAGGACTTTTTCAAATGAAGCACTTTAAAAGAAGTCCTTGGGTTGTCAATCCAGGACAGCGACAGTGGTTCTTCTGAGGAAATAATAGGCTAAGAATAATTGAATCCGCTGAACTCGCCGACTTAGTAGGGGACGCAAGAGGGAAGGGGAAAGTGTCGTTAGTTCTATTAGAGGCACTACATTTTCGCTGATTAGCTGAAAAAAGTTCAAAATGACAAAGTGGCGGCAGCAAGTGTAGGGTTGAATTTACTTCAGCAGGAAATAGACGACTAGGTCGAATTGAAGGAGGTTCATGACCAGCTCCTACAACCCCCAAATTGACTATGGGACAACAAAATCGTAAATTTCTGAAGCCTCACCTGGTTCTCCAGGTTCACCCTTCTCGCCTCGAGGTCCAGGAACACAGGCTTCACCCATTTCCCCATCAGGACCCTTGTCGCCTTGATCTCCGGACTGACCCTTGGGTCCCTTGGGACCTCGTGTTCCAGTGACACCACGAACACCCTTTGGACCCTCGAAACCAGGTTGACCCTTCTCACCCTTTGGTTTTGAGGTGATCTCACAGTCCCAAATCTGCAAACAATTAGAGCAACTGCATCAGTGATGATGCTCAACTTTTCAGCTCCTTCGTCCTAAAAGCAGCTTTTAAAAAGGCCAGATATACCCTAGCTTCGCCTGGTGGTCCAGTTACACCTCGAGATCCGTCCCTGCCAGGGATTCCACGTTCACCGGGAGCTCCTTTGGGTCCTGAAATGCCCTGGGGACCATCCAATCCTGAATCTCCCTAGACATACAACCAAAAACCTCCAGTCTTTCATTCCAGGGATTTAGAAAGCCTACACCATTATTCTTCAAAATGCACTCACCAAATCACCACGTTCGCCCTCTTCACCTGGTTCACCAGGTTCACCCTAAAATTATCCCAAATGTGTGAAAGAATTGTGGTTAGCTGAAGGAAGAAGAGCGAGGTCAATTTATTCAATACCGCTTCTCCGGGGTCACCTCGTTGTCCTTGTTCTCCTGGTTCACCGGGGTCACCTGGAAATCCTGTCAATCCGACTTCCCCCTTAGCCCCAGGTTCACCAGGCTGGCCTGGTTCGCCCTAAAAGGGTACAAAAAAATTGTTTGATTCTCTAACCAATCGATTCATCACCTGATCGGCACGCAACAATGCCCACATTTTTATAAGTGAGAGATTTTTTTGGATTGATTCAAACGGCAAAAACTTGATATTGAATGAAGCAAAAAACTTTGCTAGTTCCACATCAGGACTAAGCCAGACATCCAAAAATTAGTGAAGAATGCCCAGGCACTACCAGTGGTTATGAGGGAAGACTTAGGTAACCTCGTGTTTATTTCCGAATGCCCAAAGCCCTTTTTTGCTATCACCACAAGGAGCTGCCTTGTTGTAGACAAAGTGCAACACTTTTCTACCTCCTTCTGTCGAACACGTCAAGCTCCCATCAAATTATCCAAGCGTATTTTTAGGCAGATTGGGCATTAACAAATGACGAGTATGGTCCACTGGCAGTCACCTCAAGGATGATTATTAGGTGGAATGTACCGACAAGCCGCGAGTGCATATAATCAAAAAGTCAACGAACTAAAACAGCCTTTTTAAGCAATAAAAACAGGGAATTTGAAAAAGAGGTAGAGAATTGCAAGAGACGCCTTTTAAATGATACGTAAATAAGAAAAGAGGTCATTTATTGTCCTCTGGATCATTTCACCAGCCTTAAGGGGTGATTTGATCCAAGTGACCCATTAATGGGGCATTTACTCGATCACCGGGAGGACCGCGTTCACCGGTGCCGATGATTTCCTCGAATTTTATGTCGGGGCCACATGGAATGCCATCTTTGCCTGGGTGACCCCTTTCACCCTTGTCTCCACGAATGAGGTTAATGGCAATGTAGGTCCCATCTGGGCCGGGTGGACCCTGTTCACCCGGCAGACCTTTTATACCCTAAAAAGCAAAATAAACATCTCAGGATCCCCCTTTTATATTCTCCGTCTAATTAGACGATTTTCAATTCCTTGGTGAATGGAAACTTGACTCCAGATCGACCGTAGGAGCTTAAAATACTCCCAGTGAAGTGGAAACCTGCCTGAGGCTAAAACCACTTGTATCCGGTTCAACAACCCTATCGTCAGGGTTCTTTTAGATCAAAATAATCTTGACACTTGACATCTCTGATGTTCCAAAAGCTGTTCTGCTACTAATGTATCGTTTAAATTAAGCATTTTTAAAGGGATTTTTGGCAACTTTTTCTTTTCTAAACACACGTTAGCTAGAAATTGGTCGAATGATTCACCAACCAATCATCGCCTTGCTGACAACGTACACGGAACCTGGCGATGTGCGAACCTTCTTGAGTAGTCTTGACAGTTGACATAATCGATGTCTTAATACTCAGTCACCTGAATTTCAAAAAGTTTTTAAACTATTTAATTTCCCATCGTCATGATTGAAGGTTGTGTTCTTTGCCACATTCCCTTCGCTCTGCTTTACTGATCATTTATTAGTGCCCTGGAAACATCCACGAATCTTCTTGATATTGTGCAGCTTTTCTTTGTCCAAGTTGACTTGACGCTTGACACGAGTGACAGCCTGAGACTCAATTAATAAATTTTTAGGGGAGTTTGCCCCATCAGGCGTACTCTCTCAGAACTTAATCGTTGCGCTTCTTTTGTCGCACTGATCTTTACCCAACCATTAGTTGACCGCCTTGCTAACCAATCACCTTTTCGCTAGCTTAATGTAGCTCCGTATACAAACTGGTTCTTGGTTAATCTGGTCAAAAATGTCAAAAACTGGCGAAAAAAAAAGGAAGGGTTATTAAAAAATGGTTTATTTGTGGAGATTACTTAACCTCTAACGTATTTTTAGTTAGAATAATTTAACTAATATACCTTCTCTCCTTCTGGACCGCGGTAGCCGGATAGTCCCTCCTCCCCTTCTTCACCTTGCTCGCCCTAAAAAAGAGGAAAAAAGGGGTAAAATAGCTTCATTCCAGAATACTGGCAAATTAAGCAAATTGGCCTCAGCAAGCTTACGGGTTCGCCTTGTTCCCCGATGTCGCCCGCCTCACCCTAGAAAGGGCAAAAGAAGGAAAAAGCGGTTTATTTGCATCTGTAAGTTAGCTTTCGTTTTTCTCAGGGATCGATTAGTTAATTTTAGTTGAATTTCAAAATACAAAAAGTTTCCAATGCAGAGATTTTAGTAGGGTGGTGGAGCGAAGTTTTGTTTAAAATCTTCATCATTACATCGCGGCGAGCATGCTTCTTGCAACACCGCGGGTTAGAAATCAGAGATTGAGGGCAGGCATTGGCCTCATGACTCATTGCGCTGGAAAGGGGGGAAGAGACAAAAAAATACCGTATTTGAAGACCTACATCTTCACCAGGTGGACCTCCATCCGTTGAGCATGCTTGTCCCTTTTGTCCAGGCACACCGGGCTCCCCCGGTGGTCCATCTGTCCCGTTTCTTCCAGGCGGTCCCTCAGGACCGGGAATACCCTAAATCAATCGGTTTTCGGATTCATAAAGTACTGTTACCCTCGGGCCCTCACAACCCGTTGCGCCACTGGCACCCTTTGCACCCCTCACACCGTCATTCCCCTAGATGGAGAGTTAATTATGTTGGTAAAGTGGAGGACATACCGTCAATCCAATGGTTCCAGCTAAACCTTGAGGACCTTGTGGACCCTAAATGTGGAAGAGTTAATGGGGTCAAGGTGAATTGACCAACTCACTTCTTCACCCTTTTCACCTTCCGGACCAGGTAATCCAGGAGGACCACGATCACCTCTAGAACCCCAAAATCCCGGAGGTCCTTGTGATCCAGGTGGACCCGGTTCTCCGGGTGGACCTCTAGGTCCTCTTGGACCCTAAAGTGAAATAAAAAGGACGCGGAACTAGATCTCTTATCTAAAATTGGATAACAGTGGCTGTCCTGCCACGACATTAACAGGGCGCTACTTCTTTTGCGAGAGAGTATTTTGTTTATAATTATAAATCAAATAGGCCCAAGCCGAATGACTCGGCTCATTTCTGTTCCCTTTCACTTTCTTAGCCCCATTAATTCATGAGAAATGCATTTTATTGCAGATGACAATCACAAGAGATAAATAAAGACGACCTTTTAGTTGAATAATTATTTGGAAAAGGGAGAAAAGGAAACCTGTGTCAAAAACAGACTCACCCTCTCGCCCTTAATGCCCTGGCAGCTGCAGACTTCTGGGGTGCAGAGTTCATCACACCATGTATCGTTCCTCTCCTACAAATTATTTATTTTATTTTCACAAAAAGGGAAGAAGGGACAAATCGTCTTGAAACACCTCCAAGTTTTAGCAAAAAAGGGGAGTAACTACACAGTTAAGCGTTTAACATTTAAAGAGCCTGACCTTTAAACGAATTTACATGCTCAGCTTTGCTCTGATGATCGAACTAACTAATACTTATCACAGTCGAATGAAATCTAGGTAAATTTACAAATTAACTGGAAATTTGAATGGCTCATTTGAAGCAACTTCATTGGCTTATCAGTAGACTACTCTTCGTTGTACTGATTATTGACACAAATGAGTTTTATTAATATTTTTTCTTCGATTTTAAGCGCTTTAGTTACGGATTACATTTATTGTTTGCGATTTTATGTGATTTAGACTGCGAAATATCCAGATGAATATAAGCAGTACGGCACAGTAGTGAAGCACACAATAGCAGGACCTCGGAAAAGTTTGAAACTTGAGACACTTCTTGATCTTTAAAACAACAGCTTCTCGGATTTACTTTAAAAGGATTTATTTGTGTCTTTTAGAGGTCAACCTTACGGTTTTTTAATTTAATAACATTTTAAGTGCCTTTTCTTTACTCTTTCCTTATTTTTTTTTAAAACATTTTACGAAGGCAATCTTACAGCGAATGCAGCTGTGAGTAGGAGAGTCACCAGTATGAGTATTGACAACTTGAGGCTGAAAAACGAGATACAACTAATGGAACGGGATTGGAAGACAAATAGGACAGGTCTAATAAAGCAAGAGAAAAAAGGGGACGTACGCAGATGCGTGTGGATGCATGTGTAACCTGCCATACTCTTGCACACAAAAAAGGGGTAGATGGATAGACAAATAGATGGGTAGGCAGGTAGGTGGATTGGGCACCTATACCAAAAAACTGGTGCTTCTGGAACTTATGCCTGCGTCAACATACACACACACATATACGCACAGGGGAATCAAAAAGGTCTTCTTGTACTTTTTCAAAGTGCACATAACACACAAACACGCATACGGTGGAGGAGGATGGAGGAGAACACGCCAATAAACCTCTCATTACCACACCACAGGGCGAAGAACACTTGGATGGAGGTCATTACGAGAGAGGATGTTTAAAGGCAAAGTGTAGCGCTTACCCATACCAACTCATGGTGTTAATTCCTGTAAAGATTGGTGTTGTGAGCAGCTTCTACTACCACCACAGCGTCGTCGACAGCAGCAGCAGCAGATGCGGCAGTAAGAGCAGCACAAGTTGCAGATGTGTACACAGAAGTTGGGTGTGTATGTGTGTGTGCGTGTGCCCATTCGCATGTCTCTCACACTTCCCTCTTGCCCCTCTCCCATTGTGTGTGTGCGTGTGTGCGCGTAGCTGTGCGAGTGTGTGCTGGAAATGGATTCAGGAGAGGGTGGAGTGTGTGGGGTGCGGTGGAGGGGTCGTCCCGCCTGCTTACTGCTTCAAGTACAGGCGAAAGAGGCAAATTAAGAAACACGGCTCTCGGACACACACACACACACACACCCCCACAGCCCCACCTACACATGCGCAGCTGTTGGGAGAAATACGCAGAAAAAGGGGACACTCGTGATTAATGCAAGAACGCGGGGCAGGCAGACACAATCGATGTGCAACAGTAGTGATGTAAAGATCCAAAAGGCCAATGGAGGGGACAAAAAGGCTTACCCCCATTGTTGAGCTCAATTTAGCGTAGGTTAGGGGCCCAAACAAGTGACAGAGAGGCCCTTTCCTGGCTGGCGGAGAGTGGGGCGATTGGTGGGAGACGGCAGAAGATGACAAGAACTTATATTTGAACCGCATGGTGGAAACACCACCTATTCAGTGCACATGTGAATCATTTCATCACTTTTTATTTTTCTTCTAAGGTGAATGTTCAGGAACCAAGTCGGACTTGGGAAGGACGAAAGCCCTCGACGTTTTATTCCTTTTATCAGCTGCAGTCTTTACCGATTTTATTGGTGATTTACCACCTCCCTTTCGTGACAGAATGGGGTTCCGGAAAGTGAACAATAAATCTTGCCCTGAAGTTTAGTTAAATAGCTAGGGCATTAATTTTTCCCCAGAAAATTGATCAAAATGCCACCGAGTTGTTTTATTACGCTCTTCCTATTGCAGATTAATTTATTCTCTTTTAATCTGAGCGTCAAGTATGTGTGACGGTGGGGGGAAGAGCATTAAATGCACCGCGATTGTTAGGTACTCATGCATGCATATCTCTACGCCCAAGTAGGAAACTGTCTTGGTGATAGCCCTCTCAAATACACCCAAAGTAGAAAAGCAGGGCTTTAAAGTTGTCCGAGGAGAGTGGTCACCTACTAAAGGCTTCCTAATGGACAGTTTGGACCACCGATTTCTGCGTCGCTCAGCCTGCAGAAGAAAGATTCTCCTCGTTTCCAGCGTCTGGAAAGACGCGCCGATACTTTGTCTAAAAGCCAGGCCTCCCAACGCGGTGACCGACATCCCTCCGCCTTTTAGTTACCCCATCTGATTTCTGCAGGCACTGATTTTTGGGCAAACCCATTAACCAGGGAAAGAAATAATCTGCAAAAGAATTAACCCAACCTGATGCTATCCTGGAGGCCTAGGAATATGGGAGGAGGCGAAAAAGTACCTTTTGGTCTTAATATCGGTTATGGCTTGGGAGTGCTGTGTTATGGGGTCCTAAGGAATGCGCACATACCCGCTGCCGGTCCCACCGAGGGAATAACTGTGATTTGTGTCACTTTCAGGCGCCGCAATAAATGGAAATCCGCAGATGGTATCGAAATAAAACCGTAAGATCTCCTCTTTCCAGAGGAGGCGATAGGGTGTTAGGGGGTAGAGGAAGGAAGGAAGAAGGAGTGAAACCAGTGAAAAAAAATAAAGGATAATATTTTTTCCCTATTTCTTTGCCTTAGAATGTGGCAATTCATTGACCTTAGACTTTGAATGAGCATTAGCACGCTTAAAGGTCACCCGTAGGTGATCACAGACAATTGGGAGTGAACGAGGACATGACGTTCTAGAATGTTCAAGGAACTTCAGAATCGCAAAACGGAAACGTCTCATTCCTCTAAAGTGCTTAAGGGGTTCCAACCTCACCCCCTCCCACTTGAAAGGGCGAAGTGGAGTGAGGTGATGAATCTCTCAGAAGTTTACTAATGCTCCCATTTTTCCGCCTTTTTCTTCTTTTTAACGACTTATTTATAGGCAGAAAAATAATAAGGTGGTTGCTGAAATCGCTATGTTGTGCTTTCGGTTCAAGTGGGGCAATTCCAATTACCAGGTGGTCCCATAAATTGGATGTGTAAGTGGCGCCTAGTAATTTATTGTCGCATTAAAAGAAATACACACCAGCGTCCTCGAGGAATTTGTTCCCCTATTTTGTGGGAAAAAGCAAGATGGGAACGCTTTTTTGGAACAAACTGCAGTGGAAAATGTGTACCTGCTGGGAGGAATGACCAACTTACACTCTACTACGGAGCAGGTGTGAACATAGTTAACATGGAAAAATGTGGCATTATTCATGGGTTTCCTACCCTTAACCTATTGGCTAGTTCCTGTCAAATAATTACCCTTGACGTTTTGCTTAATGTGACATCGTTTATTTGTTTTGTAAGGTGCCTTTGTCCCCTTCCTCCGCCATCAACGTCACGGGTTTGTGCTACATTTCGGCAGGTCACATATATGTGACACGTGTTTTAAGTTGAAAAATATCACAGGCGGCTGTAGGAAATTGAGTCCCACACATCCTGGTTGAGGTTAAAACAAAGCAAATGGATGTGTGTACCCCTGATCTGACAAATTAGCCTTTAAATAGAATGTGGACGTTTGTAGGTCCTAGATGGTCGAGATACTAGATAATTCGTCCATTTTTAGGCGTTTTGAGTAACTTTGCTGCTTTACTTTACACTTTCATAGAATGTGAAGGTCTGGATGCATTTCAGTCCCTCCTGATTGGCTAGGACCACTTATAAGTGTACTATAAGAACACTACCATCCACCAACAGGTCAAGGTCAAGCGAAAGGTATAAATTCGCTAGGCTGGGGCCGCCTCGTGCCTCCAGCACTTACCACTGGCCACAACTAGTTTACCCTGATTGGTCATACTTGGTGAAGTCTGTTTGGGAGCATGAGGGGATATGAGATGTCATTTTCAGCAATCTTTTAGCCCTTCTCATTCAAATCGCGATTCACGCCTCGGCACTTACGTGATTCGTCAAGTTGGCACAGTCGAATCAAAAATGTTTCTTCACTTTCTTCCCTTAATTTGTAGAATGGTGCCACTGCAGTCGACTGCTTTGTGGGGCAGTCATGTAAAAGGAAGGCAATGTCAGAAGCAACTTTTAACTTTTCTTTATGTCTGGAAATTCACTTTTTAGATGATGGAATGAACGCATTTTAGTGGAGAAAGAAGAAGGAATTATTCCCGCCTAGTGAGCTTGGTACTGGATGAATCGGGTATTCGTTCTGGTCTGCTAGATCTGGTATTAAATCATCTACCTCGTAACCCTCCTTCCCGAATTCATCCATCCATCCAGCTGGTGTCCACCCGTCCATCTCTCCATTCCAAAAATGCCTAATTGGTAATCCACTGGGAAAGGGGTACACTCCAAACGCCCAACTTGTCGCCAGGCTGAATGGTCCAAAAAGGAGAAAAAGAGGCAGAGACTGGGACAGTCTATTCGGTACGTCTGAACCCAAAAGAAGTCTACCCACCGATGACTCATTAGGGATGTAAGGCAAAGGGTACCCTTGTGGCCACCGCAACCAACTCTGGTTCATGTGCCCTCTTTCCCACGATTTTAAAACGCTTCACGTCCCAGCTGCAAAGGCTTGGGTACCACCACCATTCCAGTGTTTTTTTGTGCAGACGAACGCATTTTAAACTGCTTGACGGACAAAATTGGGAGAGAGGGTGGTACCTCCAGTTTGGTTATTCAATAAATGGCCACTAACCTCAAGGTCAGTTCAATGTATCCCGATAAGTAGGAAGCTTTTTCCACCCCAATTTCTTCTTCCTCCCTTCACTCTTATCGAATCCTTCCCACAGGGTAGGCCAGGGGAACAAAGTGATAACCACCAATATTTCCACCCCGTGCGTAATCGGTAGAACTGGAAGTATCGATAATCAGCTGAAGAGGCAGAATTTGGTTGCCAAATAGTCTGGAGCCCTTTTATCACCCTCCACATCTTGGCAACATGAAAGACAACTGTTTGGGCATAGTAGAACACTTTAAGCAAGCAATAGCTCGGCTAAAATTGAGGAATAAACCTTGGGTGGGGCAATTTCATACCCATTTTGCCAGACATTAATTTGTGCGTGTTCTTAAAAGGCAGAGACGGGAAATGGCCTAGATTAGGTTATTATTCCCATCATCCTCGATCCCTGGATGAAGGTCAGGTGATGAGGAGCATCCCACACACTCCAGCCGCCACAATGCGAGAGCTGAGGGTTAAGAAATTACAGGTTTACTATTAGTCTTCTAGCTCTTCCACCTAGAACCCCTTGGACTACCCACCAGGTTAATACCAAGAATTTGTTTGGTGAGGAAGAGTTGAGGGGGAAGGGGGAACTCAAACACTAGAAATATGACGGTCACACTATGTGATTTATCCGGGGCTTGGGTGATCCTGCACTAACCTTCAGCCACATTTACACAGGATAGGCAGTAACGACACCAGATATATTTGCCCACTTTCTCCAACAAATTAGAACCATCTTCCGAAAAGCCTCTACCGCTCCGATGACTAAAATAGAAGGGATGGGGATAGAGGGAGGAAGAAGAGAGGGAGAGAAGGCAAGCCATTTTACACAGGTTTCGGCCACTAATCACTTGCACTTCTAAGGTGACCTTTCTGTTGTCCATTTAGCATTACAGTTACCGGCATTCATGGAAATGTCAGTGCTCCACTAACGGGATGGTTGGGAAAGATTTACGGTGTTTGAGACACCGATGTGGGAGGCAATGATTACACGTATGTCACTGGTGCAAACCCCTTCCCCTTCCCCCCTCCCCCAGCCGCATCCTTTGACCCAAAACAACTTAATCATAAAAAATACCGAGGTTAATTGACTGTCCTTTGTTAAAAGATAAAAAGAAAGGAAAAAAAATTAGACGAAATATCCGCTAAAATCTCATTGGTTGATAGAAGGATCCTTCCCAAATGATTAGTTAATTTGGGAAAATGTTTTGTAATTAACACCGATCAAAATAAGCTGCAGGTTGAAACCATTCTAAAGAGAATCGTCAAAAATATAGGTGCCGCTTTCGGTAACATTTGGCAGTAATGACTTCTTGTAATCCAAAAGGGAATTAAAAAGTGCATGTGGCTATTTATACCAGTCCATTGGGTGGCAGCTGC